GACGGGGTCTCGCTCTTGCTCAGGCTGGTCTCAAACTCCTGAGCTCAAATGTTCCGCCCGCCTCGGCCTCCCAGAGTGCTAGGATTATAGGTGTGAGCCACCGGGCCTGGCTGAGAATCTTAGAATCTTGATGGAAGCAGCAGCATCTTGGAATGTCAGAGCCAGCGTGACATCAGAGATCACGATGTCAGCTTCTTGCTTCCGTGACCTCCCACTAGGCTGTGCCCACCTCTGCCTCTGTGCCCCCACCTCAAATGGAAGTGGTGGCTTTCTGCTTCTGTGTCCCCAGCAGATGGGGAGCATCCTTGGCTGCGAATGCAGGGTCCAGTGCATGCTGGGTAAGCAGAACCTCCCACACCAGGTGCTCACCGACATCGTGGATGAACTGCTCGATCTTGGCCTGCATGCCCCAGTAGCGGAACTCCACCTTGCACAGCTTATAAGCGCACATGAGGGGCCCCGTCTGGGCTGCTGTCCGCACCCAGTCATCAGCCAGTGGGCCTCGGCCCGTCTTGACCGAGTGGTACAGCCGGGGGTCCTCTTCCGCTTTGTATTCACCTGGGGCCACTGCATCCCGCACGATGTCGATGGTGTCTGGCGGGGGGGCGGGGGGGGTTGTTTCCAGCAAGCACTGAGTAATGCCAGCTGATTCAAGCCCCCGCCCCCTTCCCCCTGGGGCTTGGGAGGACAGCCTTTCACAGATAGGACCTGAGGCCCCAAAAGAGCTGGAACTTGTCAGAGGCAGCACACTGAGGCAGCAGGGGGCCTGAGAGGGGGTCCAGGGTCCCCCCCACAGCTCCAGGCCTCACCCAGGATGCGCTGTCTCCTCTCAGCCCCACTCAGGTTGAAGACATTCGGCTGCTGGCCCCCGTCAGGCAGGTAATAGGTCTCTATTTCAATGGAGAATTTCTCCACGAAGGGGCAGGTGTACCTGAGCAGAGGGCAGGGTTGGGGCTCACTACTGTGCCCACCAGGACTGTCCCCTCATGGCATGGCCTGTGCCCGCCCTACCCACTCACCGGGTTCGGGTGTAGGGGTAAGCGTTCCAGGATTCCTCCTCCACCTGCAGGGCAGCCTTGGGCAGCAGTGCCCGGAACCAGCCTGGGATGTGGGAGCCCACGTGGTACACCTTGTGTGTGTACTGCCCGCTACCTCCAGGCCCATCCGTGTAGGGCCGGTTGGCCAGGATCTCCACGCCGCTGCCCTCACCACTAGACTCCTCCCGGCTCTTTTTCTGCGGCCCAAGGCAGAGCAGAACAGGGAGCTTGGCCCTAGCTCAGCTCCCGGGATCCTCTGCTCGGCCTGGTGCCCTACACAACTCTGGGGCTCTGGTTCTGGCCTTTTCAACTCCCTGAAACCCAAGCCTGACCCCCCTGCAGCTCTCTGGGATCAGGGTCACAGATGCTGCCTGGTCCCCTGTGGGGTTCTGTACCCCACATTCAGTTCAGTCATTCAAGTATTTACTGACTGTCTGCCCCACTCCAAGCATTGCTTGGGATTATTAATTGGGATATATGGATGACTTGAACAAAGACCTGTGGCTTTGTGGAATTTAGGTTCTAGTGTAGGGAGATAGGCAGCAGGAAAAAGCAAATTATATGGTATTTATGAAGGTGCTAAGTGCTCTGGGAAAGAGAGAGCACAGAAAAGAAAGTGGGGATCAAGGCTTGGGGACTGCAGCTTTGATGTGCCGGTCAGGGAAGGCCTCACTGAGAAGATAACGCGACCCTGACTTGACCAAGACTTGAAGGAGTCGAGGGAGGGGCCCAGCGGATGTGGGGTGGGGGAGTATTCCAGGCAGGGGGGAAGCCAGGGGGAGCCCCCAGGTGGGAGGGAGCTGGATGTGCTTGAGGAGCAGCAGGGAGGCCAGGGTGGCTGGAATGGAAGCACAGACCAGAAGAGGACACGCACCTCCACTTCTCAGAGGCCCTGAGCCTGGTCCCCTCCCTCTCTGGGACCCCAGTCCCAGCTCCTGCCACACCCCTCATAGCTTGAGAGCGCCCTATCCTGTCCTTTCACAGCTCTGGAGCCCAAACTTGGCCCTCTCCGCCCCCTGAGGCTGGATCCCACAGTTCTGGAGAACAGATGTGGAGCAGACCTCCCCAGGGCCCTGCGCCAACCCTCTCACCTCCCCGAGAGCCCACCTGGCCCACTCTCCTCACAGCCCAAGCCCAGACCCCTCCCTCACCGCCGTCCCCACCTGCCCCGTCCCTGTCTCCCCATGCAGCCTGATCCTCACCCCCTCTCCCTGACCTCCTAGGGTTGCCAAGACCCCACACCCTCTCCAGACCCCCTCCTGCCCTTCTCTGCCACCTAGGTCCCCCTCCTCACCCTTGCCTCCTCATCGGCTGCCTCCCTCCCCGCACGGGATTACAGATTCTGAGGAGGATTAAGGGAGATCGCAGGAGGCTGAGCAACACCGGCTGGGCACTTAGTGGGTGGGGGCCCCACTCAGCCCTCTGCACCCTTTCCCCACAGCCCTTACCCAGCCCCGCGTCCGAAGAGGAGCCTCTCTCTCCTCCCCTGGGCTCCAGCCCTCAGGAGCAGGGCTGCGGGGGTCAGCTGGGCTCCACCCCTTGCCCCCTGTGCGGCCTGCGCCGCGCTGTCGGCCCCTCTCATCTTCCCCGGCCCACCGCCCTCACCTGGATCATGTAGAGCTGGGCCACCTGGTACTCGTCCAGGCTCATGGGCAGCACAATGTGGTACTCCTTGATAAGCATCCTGCAGGCGCTCGGCGGGCCGCGCGGCCTCCGCTCCGCCTGGCGCAGGGCACGGCGCGGCCGTCAGTTCGGGGCGGCGGCGCGCGGTCCCGAGCCCTGCGCGCCGGCCGAGCGGCTGGCGCGGCGGGACCCCATGGCCCGGCCAGCCGCGGGGGACGCAGAGGCGAGCCCAGCGCTGCTGCCCGCGCCGCCGGGGGCCGGGAGCCGCAGCGAGGCTGAGCGCTGACCTCTTTTCCGCGCAGCCCCCGCCCCCCGCCCGCCCGTCGCCATGGCAACCGCGCGCTGACGCGGGCCCCCCGGAGCGGCGGGCTCTGGTCGGCGGGCGGGAGGGCAGCCTCGCCTCTCCCCCCGCGGCCGCGTCCGGGGCCCCTTCGAAGCAGCATCCCTCGGGAGCGCGCCCCCAGGAGCCTCCCGGCCCCTCCTTCCAGGCCCGCCTTCCACGACCGGCCCCTCGGGGGCCCGCCCCCTGCATCCCTTTCCCCGACTCGGCGGCGTCGGTGTCCCCCACTCCGGGACGTCCCCCAAGAGCCTTGTGCCTGGGTGTCTGCGCGGAGCGGCCCCGTGCGCCCCTGCCTTCCGGGACCAGACATCCCCGCTTTCCCCGCCCTGGCGGGCAGCCAGGTCCTAGACCTCCTCGTCCCCAGCATCCTTCCTGGACCCCTGGCCCTCGGCGACTCTCCACTCGCCTATGCAGCCATCCTGTCATTCTTCCCGGCGGTTGACCCCTCCTCAGCTGAGGCAAGAGCTGCCCCACTTGGCGTCCCCCGGGCCCCCGACCCGGGAGACCCGCTCCGCCCACCTGCGCCCCGGCCGGGCGCCACAGTTCCGCTGCAGACACCCCTCCCGCCCCCCCCCCCCCCCACCTCGCGCCCAGCCGGCAGGCGAGAGGCCCCGTTGTCCCCACTTCCCTCTGCTCCCCGGCGTCCCCGTCCCCAGCCGTACTCCTGGCCCGCCTGCCGACGTCCCGGCTCACCTCTAGCTTAGGGCGGGTGCCCCTCACCCGGCCCGGGCGGGGGCAGCCGGCCAGTGGGTCGGAGTCCGGAGCGTCCCCGGGCCTGGCCTCGGGTTCCGGCAGTGGCCGGACTCTCCAGAGGCGCAGCGCCGGCCCATGGCCCCGACCTTCCTCTCCGTCCGCCCGCCGGCGCCCCTGCCGTCCCTCCCCGCCGCCCGCCGCGTCACTGCGGCCGCCCCGCCCCCTTCCTGGGCCCGGCAGGCCCTCCCCACCCGTGCGGGGTCCCGGCAGCCCCGCCCGCAGCAGAGGAGGGCAGGCCCCTGCCTTCCTTCCCCAGGGCAGCGGGGGAAGAGGCCATTCCCCAAATGCTGGCGCTGCTTACTCCCTCTGTGCCGTTTGGGGCCCCAAAGACTCTTGGTTCCTATCTCCACCCTGGCCCAGCCCTCCTGTGTGCAATGAAGGGGTGGGGCTTGCGCCGGCAGGGTCCCAGGCCCGCTTCCCCAGCTCCTCACCTTAGGCAGCCCCAGAACCCCGGACCCAGGGTAGGGGAAATGCCTCCCCACCAAAGTCTGCTAGAAGCTGGTGGCTCTGACTTGCCTCCACCTGGGCGGGGGTCCAGGGCCACAGGCCTCTGGGGTCACTCGGCTACACACCCAGGCGGAGGTAGGGCTTCACTACAGATCCCTGGGCTAGTCCCTGAACGGTGCCACAAGGCCTTCCAGCTTATGCCTTCCAGGTGTGTAAGTCTGGCCACCCAGCCACCCTGGGTAAAGGCCAAGACACCAAGGGCTGGGTTCATGGGGTCACGCCCAGCCTGCTGGAAGGTGCTGGGGCTGTGGATGGCAGCACAGAGCTGGGTCTCACCCACGTGGGAAGCCAGGCCTTTCCCCTTGACCCTGCTGCCCAGTGATGGGGGAGGGAAACAGCACTGGCCCCTCCCTCTGAGGGGTCAGAGACTTTCATGGCCGATTCAGAGTTTAGGGTGTTGTTAGGTCATTAAGGCGTGTGAGGGAGTGGCTCAAGTGAACTGGCATTTGCACCCTGCCAGGCACCATGGCCAAGCCAGAGGAAGAACCCTCCAGGCCCAGGCTGGCAGTGCCGCCAGCTGTGGAGGCAGCCAAGGCCCTGCACTGCCCCCTGGTGGCACCACATGAAGGCGCACAGGGCTCTCAGCCCCTTGCACTACTCAAAGCTGAGGGCCTGAGGGGCAGAGTCCGACCCAAGGCCTGTGGACAGCAGTGGCAAGGCAAAGCCAGGTTCGGTCAGCCTCCCCCTCCCCCACTTTCTGCCCGGTTCACCAGGCTTAGCAGAACCAGACCCAGAAAGGCTCAGAACTGAGAGAACAACTCCAAATCATCCTTTATTTATATAAAAAGGGCATATTTAGCAAAAGACACACTGAGAAAAGAGTTGCTATGGCCCAGGAGACAAGGCAGGGAGCTTCTGAGCCCTGCTGGGGGAGGAAGCCTGGGACAAAGTGGCGAGAAGTGCTGGGGAAGGGCTGGTGGTGGGGCCACAGAGAGGAGAAAGCCCCAGTTGGATCAACACTGTCGGCAGGTCATGGGTGGGACTCGCAGTGACCTCGCTGCTAAGTCTTGGGGGGGACAGTTAGTGCTGCCGACTGGAGTGAGCACCGCCCCCTGGTTCCTGGAGGGCACCCACCAAGGGACACAGGACAGGAAGCTCAGGATGGTTAGTGCAACTCGGGATGAAGGCCAGGGAGAAGCAGGTGCTCTGCAGTGGCCGGGAAAGGTCCAGACGCTGAGGCGCTTCCTGTTACGTGCGGGCGTTCCGCTCTGTCTCTGCCAGGCACTCTCTGACTAGGGCCCGGGCATGGATGATGCCTGGGGTAGGGGTGGGGTGGGGATGGGGTCTCAGCAACCCTCCATAGCCCCATCCCCACCCTTCAAAGGAAGAAGACCCCTCCCTCTCCACTCCCTTTCCTTTCAGCAAGAGAAATTCAAATCTAACGAGGGGCTGGATGAGATTAGAGGTGTGGCTAATCCTCAAATTCACCCTGTTAAAATACAATTCCAGGGCTCTTCCCTGGAAATTGACTAAATTTCAATTCAATTCAAAGCATCTCTCTGGGTAGTGATACTGGCTCTAGTCTAGCTTCAGGTGGCCTCCAGGTGGCCTTCCTTTCCTAATGGAGGAGGAATGTTCAGTGTCAGTCTCCTGAGCAGGGCAGGGTGGGCCTAGCCTCACTTACCTCTCTTCAGGCGCTCCATGGCGCTCTTGCTGCCAGCATAGGTGGGCCGGATCTCTTTGCCCATCTCCTCTATGACCGACAGCAGGTCCGTGTAGGTGCTCTGGGAACCCTGGGCGCCGGGTGGCTTCATCGCCTATGTCAAAAGAGAACAGGGCAGTGAGCCCAGGCCCCTTGGGGGGCAGGGGGACTCCAGTCGCCATCCATAAGCAAATCCTTGGCCCCACTCACCTGCACATAGCCCATGGAGGGCGGTCCAAAGTCGTTAAACAGTGGTCTGAAAGGGGCAGCGGCTCCTGGCACTGAGCCCGACGGTGATGGGACACTTCCGGCTGCAACAGGCGCGAGTTAAGAGGTCAGGGCGAGGCAGCGACGCCTCCTCCCAGCTTTCCAAGCCCCAGACCGGGTTCCCTCCAAAGGATGCTTCATTCCATGCCGACCGACTTCAGGAACAAACCCCTCCCCCTGCGCTCCACCAACAAGCCCTTACGCGACCACGCCCACTTCACAGGCCGGCAAACTGAGGCCCCGCGACGGTGGGCGGCAGGCCGGGTATCGCAGAACTCAGGCCGTCTTCTCTTCGAGACCTAGACCGCCGGGCCGGCGAGCAGGGGTGGAGCTGGATCCTCACCTGTCGGGACCGGGGTGCCCGGCCCAGGGGTGCTGGAGCCAGGGGTGCTGCTGGGGGCGGGGGCGATAGGCTTGTAGGACATCCCCAACTCCTGGGTGCGGCGGACGCCGGCCGGCCGCTCCTCGGGGGTTGGCTGCCGGGCCGCTCAGCCGCGCTCTGATTGGCAAGCGGGCTGCACGCCCCTGGTAAATAGAGCTCTGGCCGGAAGGGCGGGCGGGCACGAACGCTCCCTCACTCCCGATTGGCGCGCAAAGATGTCACTCGAGCCTCCTCATTGGCCGAGACCTGCCCCAACAGGTCGCAACCGCTGCAGATTGGCCTCAGCCTTCCGGACCTCGCACCTGTCTGCTCGGGATTGGGCGGTGGCTGCCGCCCTCCGCAATTGGCGAGTTCGGGGCCCGGTCCGGCGCGCTCTCAATCCGATTAGTCCCAAGGCCTGGGAGGCGGGGCCTCGGGAGCCCGGACCGGGTCTGGGCCGCCGGTTCGCGCCGCTGGGTTTTCCCGGGCGCGGGCGCCGCCCTCACGCCTCACTCGCGCTGCTTCGCACGTCAGCTCCGCACCACCCGGTCTCGGTCCAGTAGGGGCTGCTGTCGCCGCCGCCTCCGCTGAGCGCACCTCTCCTCCGCTCGGGGGTCGAAGGACGCAGGGCTTTGACGTGCCGAGCCCTGCGCCCCACCCCGTGCGCTTGTACGTCACCTTTCACCGGTTCAACACCCTCTCCTCGATCTGCGCATGCGCCCGCCTGAGGCCTCTGTTTGTTCCCATGGCAACGGGTCCCTCACCAACGCCACCATCCGAAGCTCCTCCTCCGGATTGGCTGGTCCTCAGGTCTCGGTTGATGCTAGGTCTGAGGGCGACCTCAAAGACCCCTCATCCAGCTCCCGAAGGCCCTGCGCCTCTGCCCCAGATAATGACGAGAGTGTGACCGCTGACCTTCGTCGAATACTTCTGTGTGCGGGGCCCTGGACCCAACGGCTCGTGCACGAGAGCACCGGCTGGAGCCAACCGGCTCGGTTCGAATCCCAACACCACCACACCGCCCTCACTGGCGATTTTCCCCTGGGCAAGTTGCTCACCTCGGTAGACCTCAATTTCACCATCTGTAAAGTGGGGACAATAATAATTATCTCATAAGGCTGTTGTGTGGATGAATAGTCCTAAGATGCTTATTGTTTCGTTCCCCTCTTTCCTATCCCTCTCCAGTGCTCCCAAGCCTTTCCGTTCCACCACCCGGGCCCCTCACTTCACATCTCATTCCTCACAAACTTAGATCTCAGACCCTCCTCCCCTCGCTGACCCTTTCTCCCAGGCTCCCTCCCCAAACCGCTGTGGCCTGTGTGCCGTCACGCCCCCGGCTCTGTAGATTTTCTTCGTCCCCGGGACATTCATTCGCTCATCCCACAAACATTTCAGTATTCTCTCCCCCATCGCTCGTGCTGAATGCTGAGGATACGGCGATGAACTGGCTGTGACCTCTGTCCTCAAGGAGCCGCTCGTCTCTGAGGCAGGCAGGGAAGCAATGTCTTACTTTCGGCAGGACAGTGGCCACAGTGGAGACCCGGACTGGGTGCATTGTAACTTAGAGGAAGGGCCCTACCTGGTGGCACCGCAGAAATCTTTCCAGTGGAGGTGGCATTCGAGTAGGTGGGGGTGGGAGCAGAGACAGAGGGGGCCCTCCAGGTAGAGGGACTGGCACGTGCGAAAGCTTGGGGGTGTGAGAGCACATGTGTTTGGAGAACAAGTCATTTTTTGGCTGCAGAGTTCGCTGGGAAGCGAGGGCAGAGCAGTGGAGAGAACCGCAGGGGCAGGAGGGAACCTCAGGTGCCCGGGATGTAAGGAAGTGAGTTAACCGTTAATCCAGGGCTTCCCTAACTTCAGCCCTTTGTGGAACTCCTTCATGAGTCTTGCCGTCTATTTAGTGTTTACTGTAAATCAATTCACTTTTTAAAAACTTCAAATAAAAAGTAAAAGCGATAATGTCCATTTAATCATGTGCTTAATATACTTTATAGTTTTCTAATACATATTCAAACTATACTGTTAAAAATAAAGTGTTAATCAAGGCATTCAGGGTCTTCTGCTCCCTACCCGTGGCACTGAGACTGTGCTCTGGAGAAGTCTGCTGTGGATAGTTGGGGGAGGGGAGCTGCTGAGTGTTACTCCTCCTCTGGATTCAACCCCCTACTCCTCCTTCCATACTTTAGATCCTCCTACTTTCTTTATCATCCATTGTATTAGTCTACTTGGGCTGATACTTTTTTTTTTAAGAGACAAGGTCTTACTCTGTTGCCCAGGCTGGGGTGTGGTGGCTTAGTCATAGCTCACTGTAGCCTTGAACTTCTGGGCTCAAGTGATCCTTCTGCCTCAGCCTTCAGAGTCACTGGGACTACAGGCACGTGCCACCATACCTGGCTAATTTTTCTTATTTTTTGTAGATATGGGGTCTTGCTATGTTGTCCAGACTGGTCTCAAATTCCTGGCCTCAAGTGATCCTCCTGCCTTGGTCTCCCAGAGTGCTGGGATTACAGGCATGAGCCACTGCACTTGGCCACAGGCTGCCAAATACTACACAGAGAAAACACAATACCACAGACTGGGTGGCTTTAAACAACCAAAACTTATTTTCTCATAGTTCTGGAGACTGAAAGTTCAAGATCAGGATACATGGTTAGTTTCTGGTGAGGGCTCTATTCCTGGCTTGTAGAGGGCCACCTTCTGGCTATGTCTTCATGTGACCTCCTCGGTGCAGAGAATGAGCTTTCTGGTGTCTCTTCTTATATTCAGATCAGAGTCCCATCCTTATGACTTCATTTAACCTTAATTACTTCCTTAGAGGGCCATCTCAAAATATAGCCGCACTGGGGGTTAGGGCTTCAGCATATGAACATTTGGTCCATAATACCCGAGTTTGGGAGCAGGTATACGCTTGGGAGTAACTGTGGGACTGAACCTTGTACTAAAGCAGTTTTAGATATCCCTCCCTGGAGCAGTGGGCTGTGGCAGGAGGAACACAGAGTTCCTTGAAGGTGGTTGGAGGTGACAACTGTGGCCTGTCCCAGGAGAGGACCCTGTCTACCTGGGGGAAGATAGCACAGGCCTCTTGGTAGAATGCCTTGGGGGCTCCCCTCTCCTCTCAGCCCCCACACCTGGGGCCCACCTCCAGGATTTTGGAGCCTTTCAACATTACAGCTTCCGAATCAGAATTTGAAAAGTAGGGCCCACAGGCTCAGTTCAGCTCACAGACGGGCTCGTTGGCCTGCCCAATGATTTAAATCTTTGTATTAGTGGCCAACATTTTGTTTCTATACAATTCTTTCAACTTTACCATATGTTTGAAAAGTTCTATAATAAAATGTTAAAAATAAATGGATGAACAACAAGGAGATACCACTACACGCCTGTTAGAATGGCTAAAATCCAAAAAACTGACAATATGAACTGCTGGCAAGGATGTGGAGCAACAGGAACTCTCATTCATTATTGGTGGGAATGCAGAATGGTAACACCGCTTTCGAAGACAGTTTGGTGGCTTTCCTACCAGTTGTGTTCCTAGGTATTGACCCAACTGATTTGAAAATTTATGTCCACACAAAAACATGTGCATGTGAATGTTTATAACAGTTTTATAATCTCCAAAACTGGAAGCAACAGAGATGCCCTTCAATAGGTGAATGGATAAACAAACTGTGATGCATCTATACAAGGAAATATTATTGAGCAATAAATCACCTATCTAGTCATGAAAAGACATACATAATCTTAAATGCATGTTGCTAAGTGAAAGAAACCAGTCTTAAAAATCCAACACACTATATAATTACAATTGTATGACATTCTGGAAAAGGGAAAATTATATAGAAGGTTAACAGGTTACTGATTGCCAGGGGTGCCAGGGAGGAGTAGAATTGAATAGGTGAAGCATAGGGGATTTTTTTAGGGAGTAAAACTATTTTGTATGGTACTGTAATGGTGAATAGAAGACATTAAGTATTTGTCAATGAGTAAACTTTATGCAAATAAAAAATCATCTAGGAGGTCAGTTGTCCCCAGGCTGGAATGCAGAATGTGACTGAAGAATCTAGCTGTATTACAGAAGTAGGAAACCACCTCACTGAAGCGGGTGGGAGATAAGGTGCTGACCTAGAAATGGGTGGAGTCCGTTAGACTAAAGGCAAAAGGAACGGCATGTAAGCAGTGTACTCTAGTTGATAAAATGTGTCCCACAGGAGTGTGGGTTAACAATTCTGAAACCACAGTGTACTCATGTACACTGAAATTGAACAATTAAGTAAACGGAGGATGGATGTTAGGAGGCAGGTTTCTCACTGTCGGAGTGAGACGTTAGATAAGCAAGGGGAGAGGCTAGAACGATCCACGTGGTAATAGATTGGAGCTGGAGGCTGCAGTAGGAGCAGGTTCCCATAGATCAGTTGCTTACACACAGATTATCTATAAATGTGTATAGACCAGGTTAGTACACACACATACATCTCCTTGCTTTATCAGCTGAGAGGGCATAGAAGCAACACCCACCCCTGCACACACTCTGTTGCAACAACCAACTAGTGTAGCGCCCAGATCTTGGTTTCTAATACCATTCTCCAATAAAACGAGCCAGAGCTCCTTGGAGAAATGGCTAATTCTAGGACTGGGGCAGGAAATATACAAGATGATCCTGGAGCTTCTCGTAGTGCTGGAGAGTAAGAAAGTGTTAAAAAACAAACACAATGATGAAGGTATGTCAAAGGGATACAGAGCTAATTGCAAGAGCTCCCGATGGATATCTATCTTCCTATCGTCGGTCGATTGGTGTATGTAGATATCCTATCGGTTCTGTTTTTCTGGAGAACCCTGACTGATACATACGGGAAGCTGGGTGTGGCATATAAGTGGATATTTCATTTCAAGGAATACCTTGACTTAGGTGATGGTTACCTGGGTGCAGACTCATGTAAAAATTCATTGAGCTGTACATTTAAGGTTTATACACCTGACTGAATGCATGTTATATTCAAGTAAAAAATCTGAATTTACAGCTTCTCTTGGAAAATCAGAAGATCCTGTAGCTCAGGCCTGCTCTGCCTGGTGCTAGCTAGTGGAGGTGGGCAGCAGATGCCCCCTTTAGTTGGGGAGGGACTCCGAGCTCACCGCAGTTTCGTCCTGCCTGCTGCTCCTTCCCTGGCCCTGACCCCTGCTCCAGCTGTTGTCTGTTGGGAACTTCTGGACTAGAAGCCCTTTTGGGGTAAGGGGATGTTTGTGAGATTTGTAGGAGGTGTGAGCATTTCTGGTGCCAGCAGACACACTGCGGCTAATTAAGACCATTCCCCTAGCTACTCCCAATGCCCCCGGTCACAGAGCCCACCAGGCTGAGGGCTGGGTGGCCGACCCTGAGTGGGGTTCTGGTATCCCCCCGGCTGATGTCCCTTGCAGCAGGGACAGACATTTCTCAGGCAGCAATGCCATCTGTGCCAGCTGTGAGGGTGGTGGGAGGGAGGGTGGGCCACAGCTTACAGAGAAGCCCCTGGGGCTGGGGCAACTCATCCTCATCCCCAGGCCTGCCAGATTGGCAGGAGAGACCACCTAATTGAGGATTAAGGATTAAGGATTAATTGAGATCTGCAAGGCGAGCGGCGCTGAGGCTGCTGCCCAGCCCTAGCGCCTCTGCATCCAGGC